CTATACAGTCTCCAAACAAAAATATCTGCCCATATTTCACAGTGCCCCTTAGTGGAACTTTAAAGTGCTCACAAGTTTGATGGCGACCTTGTTTTAATTAATTCCTCTAAGCTACCACGCACAGCTTGTTTATTTCATCCAGCCTTTTTAAATGAATATTAATCTTGTTTAGGCATGATATGCTCAATACTTAAATGGCATTAAATTCTTTTGTGTGTAGGCATTATTTGCTCTACTCCCCCCTCTTTCTCTCTGTGTATGGTGTCCTGGTGTTACTATATAAAAAAAAAAAAATGGATGGTCCCTGGTCCCTGGTCCCTGGTCCCTAGTCCCTACCCTATTCTCTTAAAAAAACAAAAAAGGATGGCAGCTGCCTATGCTTGATGAACCCTTTACGAGAGGGGAGCCAGAGTGGGGTGTGCTTTAGCTTTTCTTTCCAAAGCCAAAAACGGAATCTTTGATCTTCTGATATGGCATTGCATGAGTACATAATTATCATTTTGGTTTGATTGAGCCAGGCTTGTAAATTTGGGTCTTTTCTACATGTTTCGTAAGCAGAATGCTATATGCTAGCCGCAGCTCCAATCAGAAGCAAACAAGATAATACATGGGAATTTACTACATAAAAAACCATCATGAAAAAGCACTTTAGCATGCACCCAAAATTATTGTACTTGTTTTTATCTGGGTGTTTGTATCTGCATTTGTAATAATAATAATAATAATAATAATTTAAGTATGGCTGCACACACTCAACAAAATGACAGCTACTTGATTAATTAATTAAGTAATTATTTATATATAAATTCTGAACAATTTAATTAAGTATTTCTCCCAAGTCCCAACAGCATGCAATATTATTCAAAATCTTTTTGAAAGGGGCAGTCCACGAAAGAGCAGTGAAAAGGAAATGGCTTGGTCAATCTAAGTAAAACAAAGCAATCCATTAATGATCATCCACTAGGTGACACATTCGTGCTTTAGTCTTCATCATATCTCTATGATGTCTGTGTTTGATGAGAAGGGGTGAGTCATTAGACCACTATTTGTCGTCTTCCATAGGAAACTTGCATTCATGGAGCAGGAGGATCAGGTTTTCCTTTTATCACCACTAGACAAGTTGTCCACCCCAGCTGCATTGAGATAAGTTACTTCTACTTCAAAGGAGTCTACAAGTCTAAGATTCTAATCCCTGCTTTCCTTTCTCTACCTGTCCAAATGTACCAAAGGTTACCATTTTAGGTTGCACTTGGAGCAGAAAAAAATAAGATACAACTTCAAAATTAATAATTAAAAAAAAAACAGATTCCGATTCATTTTTATGTTATACTTATCTCTCGTATTTTTATACCCAGGCTTCATTTTTTCTTAATCTCTTTAATTGGTGTTTCATGTCATTAATTAAGTTTTGCGGAATCCTGCTTGTGGTAGGATGACCCTGTTCTACTCCATAAGACAGTCTGCTCTTAGGTTGATCTAAACCTGCAACTGCACGCAGGAGGATGGTCGTTTTTGGTTCTAAATTTTGTTCACACAGAACATGCCATGATAGGGTATATATGTCCTGTATTAGATGGCTGTTCCACTACCTTAAAACGATAGTTTTTGTATACTTGCTTATGAGCAATGAAACCTAATTTAATGCTTTCAAAAATAAATTTGTTATGCTTAAAATTAAATTTTTGTGTGCCTATTTTTCCTCCTTAACCACGACAATATATTAGAAATAAAATTAATAAACTGCACAAATAATTGAAATGCCGAGGAATTAAGAAGAGGCTGCATATATACATATAATTCATGGTAAGTACATCAAATATAAATAATAATTTCGTGAATCTTATTGTTTCAAGAGGAGAAGGAGAGTCCTAATTATCATTATTATCACAACATAAAGTAGCCACCTCTAATCCAAAAGAATATTCATATATTGGCTTTTCAATGCCTGTTATAAAAAGGTTAGATTAAATGTAAGGGGAGACCATCTAGGTTGTGCCATATGTACTGCAAAATAATTAGAAAATTAAGGAGAAAAGAAGAAAAATAAATATAAAGATTAAAAAGAAGAAAAACTGGGTTTGTGAAAAGGCATATATTCTCCAACTTTTCTAAACCAAAGCATGTGGGTTCTGTAATGGATTCTTAGATCCAAATCTGTCATCCTTTAGGGATATATCATATACTATAATTATTTTTCAAAAGTAAAAGAAATTAAAAAAGAAACTAAATAACTTAATTCCTCCTCAAAATTAAAATTTCAACATTTACTTTCCCAATATTGCCCTTGAAACTTCAATTATTTTGCTGCCAACACTAATTACAAGAACTTAATTAACTTTGATACTTTATATATTAATTAAGCATAGTTAATTACAGGCAATCACTAAATTTCAAAAGTAATTTTGAAATTGATGCCCTAGTGCCTTAAGCTAGCTATATGCATTTGATTTTTCTTATATACTATAATACTTATCCAATCTTGTATCTAATTTGGACAAGGTAGCAAGATGTTTTAGGCTAAACGACAGACAATTTTTTCTTTGGATGGTTAATTACAAGAAAGATATTACATAATGCTCAGCACTTATTCATTTAATTTGTGAACACAATACCTAATGCTTGAGTAAGAAATAAACATGCCAAAGGATGAGGAATAATGAAACTGTGATTAGGAGCTGAGACATATCCATGCTTTGAATTTGGAGACTAGTTAATTTGGGATGTGATTGTTTGAATACAAACTGAACAACTAGTCATCCCCTTCGTTTTTAAAAGCAGAAGACAAGGTGAGAAACAAATGTGCTCTTGGTGACAACATTTTGCTTTTCCCCAAACTCTTCCGTTTCAAAGTAGTGTGGTTTCTAACTTAGACATGTATTAATGTAAATTTGTCAGGGGTTTTTTTTTTATTTTATTTTTTTATTTTTGGTGTTAAACCCCAAACCGAGAGAGAGAGAGATGAGGGTTGTGGGGTTTGAATAGGAATCTGAAAACCCAAACCTTGAAAGTTGAAGCCTTTTAGGAGTGTTGGAGAAGGAGAGAATATTCTGGTGCCGCCACGGTTCAACAGCAAAACTCCAAAGGTTATATACTAAACAAAGGCGGAAAGCAAAAACATGATTAGATTATGATTAAGGGGTTAGCAGGCAAAGTCAGCCCACTAGGAGACGACTACTCACACTTCCAAAAATTCACTGCCTTTGTCAGCTCGCTGTCTTTTAACCTTGCTCCCTGCCATACACACTATACAATTAGTACTAATATATTATTATTATTATTACTATCAGAAAAAGCGCCCATTGATCAGGCCATCCCAAAATTTCAACGCCTTTATCGAGGAATTTAACCCTAGGCTTATCCTTTTTTTCTTTTCCTACTTCTACTTTGCCGAAATGCTAATGACCGAGCCCATTCATGAATGTAACTCATGATTGGACAGTAAAGAGCAAATTGCTACCCTGGAATTTTTATGGTATACACCATACGTACAATGCTTTCTTCACACTAGATAAAGTGCATGCAATACATTCACAGTCCAACCCAATCCACGGATGCATCTTAAAGACCTGATTTCAAGCAGAAATCTGTACGAAAATCCGTCAAATCAAAAGCGAAGAGACGGAGCTGCGGAAAAGTGAAAGTAAAAAAGTTGATGATGGTCATCTACCATTCAAGTTAAAACCAACCAATCAGACTTGCCAAACAAGTTGCTGTTCCTAGCTAAATTTCTCTATATTGCTTCCATCAGTGTCACTCATCAATAATTGAAATAAACTCCAGCAGTAATAAAATTAAGCCAAGTGGGTTACAAATCTGTCATCCGACGATTATTCCCTTTTGTGTGTTTGTTTCGTCGTTTCTCCTGGATTTACCTTGTTGACAGTTGGGCACGTGCATGGCAGATTTTGTGAGAGAACCAAGTGATTATAGAGCTAAGCCTATAGCAACCATCTGATTTAGAAAAGAATGATTCAAGCCAAACAAACATATGGCCATGTGATGAGTTGAGTTTATGAATCGGTGTCCTCAATCTTCTTCGGAAAATGCCTCCAACTTAAATTCACTTTGACTATTATCCTAGGCTGAAGACCCAAAAGATTTTTACTTTGGTGGAAAATGAGGACCAAAATAAAGTGTCATGACTGGTTTGGCATCTCCTACATGTCACACTCATTTAGGGACTTTTCATTATTGTTAAATTCATCTTTTTGACAAACACAGCGCCATTTTTTTGGCCCAACCTCTATCATTGTCTTATGAAAATGCTTAACTAAGTCGGTGATAAGTGGACCATCTACCAAACCTCTCCTTGGTTTTAGATTTTGATGATAAATACAACTTTTTCACTGCTTTCTTAACTTTAAGGGAAGTTTTAACTGTTTGAAGAAGAAAGCAGCACCAAGTAACATGAATTGCCCTACGGCTTCTTGCCATGTGATGAGATGCATTTCTCATATGATTGATGGCCTATCCTTCTTTTAAATCTGGAAAGGAAAAAAAATCCTTGCTCCTTTCCACAAGTAAACTTTGCTTAGCCTGAGAACCAACCAACAGTGCTTTTACTTTTAAGGGGAATAGCTGGGCTTCTGGAGGGTGAAATGTGATCCAGTTATGGACTAGGATTCTTCGGTTGGTCTCTTTCAAATATTTGGAACGATATACAATGCATTTTCTTTTATTTATTATGGAAGTACGTTTAAAAATGGCGGATTGGAAGGGCAGTAGAGATTAGAAAAATGGTAAAACGAAAAGCATACGAATTATGAGATAATCATTCCAAATGGAAAAAGCATAGAGATTAGCTTTCTTGCGACCTCATCATATGTGTCATCATGCACCTTTGGGTTTTCGCTTGCCCACCCATCTTCTCTCTCTCTCTCTCTCTTTCTTCAACCTCCTTCCTTACCCTCTCAACTTTAACCTTTCACCGCCTCTTATTAAAAATAATAATAATAATAACAATAGTATTCTATTCCACCTAAAGGCAAGTAATTATAATTAAACTCTCTGCACATTTTTTTGTGAGAGAGAGGAAGGAGAGATCCATTCCTTGCATATATCAGCTTATGTTGTTAGGGTTGAGAACCCATAAGAAAAATACTCAGTCTCCTGAGTTTCTCTTAATCACAACATTAATAGTCCATTTGGTTAGCTTATCTTAACTTTTCTGGGTTTCTTTCATAGATTTGAGTCAAGAGAAGAAGAGAGAAAGCTTAACAAGATGTTAGAGCAGATGACAGAAGAATCGATTTCAAATGGTTTTGTCCAAAATCCTATAGCTGGATCCAATCCTCCACTTGCAAAGAAGAAGAGAAACCTACCAGGAACACCAGGCAAGTATATATATACCTTTTTATTCCGCAAAGCTTTGTTCTCTTACAGCGTGCCGTTTTCCTATATCTTTCTCTGAAAGATTCATAATGATCATCATCATGGGTAGATTCAAAGTTATTCATGTTTATAACTAAATTACCGTGTGTTTTCCACATGACAATATGGGTTTTATCAGATCCTGAAGCCGAAGTTATAGCCTTGTCCCCGAAGACTCTGATGGCAACCAACAGATTTTTGTGTGAAATATGCGGTAAGGGTTTCCAAAGGGATCAAAACCTTCAACTTCATCGGCGAGGCCATAACCTCCCGTGGAAGCTCAAGCAAAGGACCACAAAAGAAGCTAGAAAGCGCGTCTACGTCTGCCCTGAAAAGACCTGCGTGCATCACCATCCTTCAAGGGCTCTCGGGGACCTAACTGGTATAAAGAAACACTTTTGTCGGAAGCATGGAGAGAAGAAGTGGAAGTGTGAGAAGTGCTCAAAGCGATACGCTGTGCAGTCAGATTGGAAAGCACACTCAAAAACCTGCGGCACCAGGGAGTACAAATGCGACTGTGGTACTCTATTTTCAAGGTGATATATTGCTAACGAATTTCTAGTATAGCGAATTTTACGAAAGCTAATACTCGTAGTAGTAATATATTAACAAGGAAATAAAACAAAAGGGTGAATAGGGCATGAAAGTGATTTTTGTGCTTCTGGTAGTTCTGTCTGTGTGATAGACGATAAAGCATCGCTTTCCTCATGCAACAGTATTAATTAAAATTCCATAAAGACTAGAATCAACATAGAAAAAATGAAGCCCTGACAATGATTTTTTTTTTTTTTTTGGTGGTTGTTACTCTCTTTGCCTGTGTGACCGACAGGCTATAGAAACACCGCCTTCTGTCCCTCTCTTTAGCTAGGAGAGAAAAGAAAAAGCGGAAGTAAAGACAAAGAGTTAAGAGCAGGATATATGGCTAAGAAAACATATATAATGTTGATTTTTATCCGCTGCTACATCTGTTTATAAAGAGATGATCTTTTTTTCTTGGTTTCTTTGAGGTTGACGTGTTAACTCAATTAATCTGACTTCTCTCACTAAATAATAAACCCTTAGAGGGTTACTTCTTGCCATTTTCCGTTTATCTGAGACACTGTTTATGAATTTTGTGTGAGCAGGAGAGATAGCTTCATCACTCATAGGGCTTTCTGTGATGCCTTGGCTGAGGAAACAGCTAGAGTAACTGCAGCTTCCAACATGCACAGCTTGGCCACTAGCAATATCAATTATCATCTTATGGGGAATCCGCTAGGACCTGGCATGGCGCAACATTTTTCATCCATTTTCAAACCGATTTCAAGCAATGATGAAACATTAGATCAAACTAGACGTGGACTTTCCTTATGGATGGGCCAAGCATCTCAAGGCCATGATGCAATTGGTAAAAGTCTCCAAGATATTCATCAATTTGGTTCTGTGAATGCTGGATCAATATACAGTGATCCACTAGTTTCAACCTCGAATGATCCCGCATCTGATTATCAGTTAAATTGGGTGTTTGGAAATAAGGTCTCATCGAGTAACGCTGAAGAGCTAACTAGCACTTCACTTCCGTTGAACAATGTCAAGGAAAATGGATCTCAGCTTGTGAGTGTTCCTTCATTATTTAGCACCCAACACCACCCTCATCAAACACCATCCGCAAATATGTCCGCCACAGCTTTATTGCAGAAAGCCGCCCAAATTGGAGCAACTTCAACTGACACATCATTCCTAGGAAGCTTCGCAGCGAAGTGCAGCAACAGTCAAGTTGAAGATGGAAACAAGTATAGTGGTCTGTATGGTTCAAACACACCAGCAACTACTCTAGGAAGTGATTTAGAAAGTTCAGCAAATGATACTTCCACGTTGAATCAATTGCAAATGTACCCTGCAAAACGCCGACACACGCAGAATGAAGATAGTGTTGGAGGACAAACAAGAGATTTTTTGGGTGTTGGTGTACAAGCCATCTGTCACCCATCTTCAATCAATGGATGGATATGACATGGCATGGGAAATTTCAAGAGTTTGCATATTTTCTTGATGGAAAGCTTGGCTGATAATAAAAGTGGAGTTGGATGTGGAGTCAGAGAGATGGAAAGGGAGTGACAGAGTTTAGTATTTGGAGACTTTGCGGGGAAGAAAAGTGGCATTGAGTGCTTGATGGAGGCTAAAAGTTTGGTTGGAGAACTATTGACGGATGAAGGAGGAGATCCATGCATATTCTCTTGAACCTTTGAAAGCTGATCCCTTTAAAAATTGTGGCTTTTAACTTTGATTAAAGGGGATGGAGTGGTGGGGGCAAAGCAAAAACCCCTTTTGAGCTCCATTATTGCGTTGTTTCATCTCTATTGTGGTTGTTGTCTTGTCATACTGGATTTAAAAGAGTATTTCCAGATGCATAAAAGCTTGATTATTCTAGTACAAACAGGCCTTGAGCTGTTTCTTAAAATAATCTAATGTTTTCCCTTGCCAAACCATGCATATATATAATATATACACACACACACTGTACCATTACAAAAAGATTAGCACTATAACATGCAAGAAATGGAGAGAAGCGCGTTAAAGCGTCAATCTTTCACAGTAATAATACAAACAAATATTTATCTATTTGTATTCTTAATCATGTCCACTTCTTCCAATTTCTTTTTTCTTATCAAGCACACCAATTCTGCAGGCAGCATGTCTGAGTTGTCGATGACTGACTTTAATACCAGGTTCTGTTGGTGTCTTTTGATTGTTGGACTGATCTTGTTTCAAAGAAATTTACAGTAATAAATTAAAATCCTCTTGCTTTTCAATCAATTTCATTTTCTGTCTCCCAAATAAAACTAACCGATTGATGTGCTTGTATTTACTTGTTAGGTATCTAAGGTAGAAGCCCCTCATTGATTGGGATAGAATGATATTTTCATTTCAGTAGGTGTTTAATTATACGCTTTTGGGCAATCAATACATTATTCCTTGAAATCTTGTGGTATGTATATCGGGTAAACCAACATCTGGAATGCAAAAGAAAAAGAAGAGAAGCTAAAGGGAAAAAAAGGGGTCTCTTGATGATGTGTCCCTTTTGCTAAACTGATCTGTGAATGGTAAATTAAATTGCATGGTGTGAGACACAATGTTATATAAAAGACTCTTTCAAGGTACACACCAGAAATGGAGGATAAATGAGTACACCAGGAAAAACCCAAAGTCCCAAAATCTTAGCTTTAATTGGGACAGAGTCATAATCATATATAGGTAAAATGTCAAGAGAAAAGAAAAAAATTGTCATCAAGTGTGCACCATCCCTCGTGCCTTTTTGGCCGGTGCCAAAAATACAATGGGGTCAGTCAGAGTAAGACATGCCAAACAAGTGGACAATGGACAAGAGTTTTACTTTGTGGCTTATTTGGTTCAACAGAATGTTGATAATATATATTTATACCTTGTGGCCCCATATTTTGACCTGTTTTACTTATATTTTGGATTTTCAACAACACAGTTTTTAAAACTGTGGTAAATTTTTTTAAAACATAGACATACATTTATCTAAGTCAAATACTTAAGCAATTCTTGAGATGGAATGGCCAAGGGTTGCTAATTTGATGCTTCATGTGCGAACTAAAGCAATGAATTCTACAACTTTATTCCTTTTTCAATACTGATTTGTGTGTCAAGAGTTGAGTAATTGTGTGATTTAAGTATGAAAATTGCCAACTCATAGTGAATCAGATGGGAAACTAGCTAGCTAGCTCCTAAATCCCTTGCTTTGTTCATGGTTTTAGTAAATTGCTTGAGAAAGCAGGTCCTAGAATAATACTCCTAGAAATTAATGATTGAAAGTAGTGATTAAACTCAATCCGCGTCCTCTTGAACCCCAAAAACAGGTAAAGAGAAGGAAAGAGATCCTCTCCATAAAAGTCTTACTTTCATGAGCTGCTTGTTACCTTTAGTCTTTTTCTCCTGTTCTCAATAACAACTTTTGCATCCAACAAATAAAAAAGGCCGAACCTTCATAATCAATCTGAGTCATTAATTTTACAGTATCTCTTTTTCTTGAAAACCTCATTGTCATGACCACCATTGATTCCTCCATAGGCACAGAGAGAAAAATAAATATAATACTAAGTTCTGATTTAAGATAACAAAAAGCATCCCAATCCTCAACTAACTTTTCTAAATTAGATTTTTTTTTTGAAAAAAAAAAAGCAACTTCTCTAAATTAGGTTTATTGAAGCTAATCTAATACGTCAATGAATAGCATACTTTAAAAAAAAAAAAGAAGAAGAAAGAAACAAAAATTTTCAAGAAAGGTATGAGTATATTCTTGTAACATAAATTGTTAAAGGTCTAACTAAAGTAGCAACATCTCTTATCTTACTTTAATTATGAATTCTCATACATATATATTGCATGGATATTGTAAATATGTAGCAATTAGTGAGTTTGGGAGTTGTGATTTCAGTGACACACAACAATAAAAAGGAATTTCTGTCCATAGTAAAATTTTGACTACAGTTTCTCATAGCATAACCAAAAAAAAAATGTCTTTAAAATACAAGGAAATTAAAAGTGAAAAAAAACAAATTTGTATATGATCATGAATACATTAAAATAGTAACAAATTTAGCCCCAAAAGATAAAGTAGAGAAGATGAAGGCCAAATTGAAGTTTCGACCAAAATGATACAACAAGATGAAGGCCAACTCGGACCTTCTTTTTATTGTAGCCTAAGAGCAGTTATATACCGGTTTCCTTTTTGCTCTTGATATTTACCCTTTTTTTTCCTATATGGAAATACATATTTCCAAATTACAAGTCTAGAGTCGATATGCATTAACATATATCTTCACCTAATCAAAGCAAGAGTATACTGGCGGAAATGAAACATCCCATCTATTAAAAAGTGGGGTAGGATTTAGGATAAAGTAACTCTATGTTAGCACAACTATTTCTTTTCTCTCTTCCTTTTTTTATATTTACTTTACAAGTTTCAAGGAAAAGGCAAAGAAAAGAAAAAGGAGTACCTGATTTTTGGTATAATGTGACACTATTTTCATACTAAAATTCTTGCAAAGAGAAAATGGCAGTTTATTTTTCTTCAAGTAAAGCTTACTATTACCATTAAAAGCAAGAAACAAAGAACGTTGTGCTCAAAAGCAAAACATTTACACCACCTTTCCTCATCACGCCTTTGTATAGCATGCCCCCTACCCCATCTTTTTACAATGTCACATTATCTCTTGGGTCCTCTTTTACTTTCTCGGTAATCATATAATTTTTGTTTAGGGACGTATTTAAAAATAACTTTTAAAGATAAGATATTTTAAAAAATAATTTTTTTTATAATTTTAACTATTTTTAGTTAAATTTGATAAAATTATTCTTAATAAAATTACACATCATGTACAAAAACATATCATGGTTAGATTATTACACACTATGTACAAAATATGTTACATGTCATAGTTAAGTTGTTACACGTCATATACAAAAACATGTTACACGCCATAATTAAGTTGCTACATGCCATGTTGAAAAAAAATACTATTATTATACATCATGTACAAAAACATGTTACATATCATGGTTAGGTTGTTACATGTTATGTTGAAAAAAATTACTATTGTTACACGTCATATACAAAAATATGTTACACGTTATGGTTAAAAAATATTGTTACAGGCTATGTTAAAAAAATATTATTATTATATGTCATATTTAAAAGCATTTTATTACATGTCTAAAATGTTGTTATTACTTAGAAACCAAAACTTCAAATCCTCTCCAACTCTTTTCATTTATTTTATTTTATTTTTTATAATTTGACACCAATTAAAGTGTTTCTAGCATGTTTTCATAAATCAAATTATAAATTTTCTTAGCTAAAACACTTATATAGACTAAAAATTTTTAAAAAAAATTCTCTAAAAATCTAGGTTAATAAATTTCAAATTCTTGAGTTTATTGGTGTTTAGATCCCGAATTGATCAAATTAAAAACTAGTTCAAACATCTATAATTATTTCTATTATTTTAGTTTTGTCTAAAATACATAAAAATGTTATTTTCTAAATAGTTATCTATCCAAGTACATCAAAACTATGGCTTGGTGTCTTGAAAGTATAGGAAAGATAAATCTGAAAACGTAAGAGAGAGAAATCGAGAGCATAACAAACAAATGCTAAAAATAGAAATCAATAAAATTAGAGAAAGTGAGATAGTGAGAGAGAGAAATCAGAAGCACAAATAAGAAAAAAATTAAGATGAATAGTTTAATTTATTAAAAATAATTTTAAAATTATTTTTATCAAATTATGATTAAATATGATTAAAAATAATTAAATAAGATATTTTTTTAAAAGAGAAGAGGATTTCCTTTGTAAAGACCCAACAGCCCACTCACAAAAGTCCAAGCCATGCCCAAGATTGAGCCTAAAGCGTCGCTATTCAATCCTTTTCTTGGTTTCAAATCCAAATCACATAACCCAACCCAAGCTTGTTTGTCAGAACGGAAAAGCAGGTAGTACTGTACTAAAATAACAGCAAAACATACAGCCATTGAACTCAAAGGAGAAGCAAAAATGAAGTTCACGGACTCACCAGTAATTGACCTGCCAGTGCGCGATTCCCGCCTCTCTATCCAACAAGACAATGCCTCCTTCCACGTGGGCACCTCCGTCTGGCCTTGTTCCTTAGTTCTCGCCAAATTCGCCGAGCGCTGGGCACCACCTTCCCCTCCCACCACCAACGACGACAAAAACCCTTACTCCGACCTCCTCGATTTCCACAGCCGCCGCCGCCGCGCCATCGAACTAGGAACAGGCTGTGGAGCCGCCGGCATGGCCTTCCACCTGCTCGGTCTCCAAGAGCTCATCCTCACCGACATATCCCCTGTCATGCCCGCACTCAAACACAACCTCAAACGCAACAAGCCCGTGCTCGGCAAGAACCTTAAGACATCAATTCTCTACTGGAACAACAAGGATCAGATCAGGGCCGTTAATCCGCCATTCGATGTGGTGATCGCGGCTGACGTGGTATACATCGAGGAATCGGTGGGCCATTTGGTGGGGGCCATGGAGGCGTTGGTCGCGGATGATGGGGTGGTTCTGTTAGGGTACCAGTTGAGATCTGCGGAAGCTGATAAGGCGTTTTGGGAGATGTGTGAGGAGGTTTTCGTGATCGAGAAGGTTCCTCATCAGGACTTGCACCCTGATTACGCTTATGAGGAGACCGATGTTTATGTTTTCAGAAAGAAGAAGAATAAAAACTAGCAGAGTAATCTTGGATTGATTTTTTTGGTACGTTTGGCAATTGGGAATTGAAGTTATCCTTTTGTCTTTTTTCCCTAGTGAATGGCAACATAAGAATAGAATTAAAATCGTTGTGATTGTCGGCATATTTTCTCAGATTGTTAGCAGCAAAATTTTGGGGTTGGATTGAAGTATTGTCTTTTGCAATCTTATGCCAATTTCTGCAGGAAACGATTGTTTGGTTTATGGGGTTAGTCAAATGATGCTTTGCGTTTCCTCCTTTCAGTCTTGTATATCAAATGCTAGTAATTGAACAACAGCTTCCAAGCTTTATGGGGTTAGACTGCACATTGCAAGTTCTGAGTTTTTGTGTTAAATGTTGTGAAACTCTGTTAGCTGGTTCATCATTGATGGATGGAATTGAACCAGGTGATTTTATGGCCAATCAGACTAGATAACACACTTTTACTCAAAATACCTTAGCATCAGCCGTGGTGGTACTGGTCAACCTCTCTCTGTTTTGCCAAGGAGCAATGATTTATCCAGCTTTGAACCGACTGATCTTACGCTTCAGCAGGTCAGCTGGGATCTTTTTGGGCTTTCCCCTTCTGTAATACTGTTTTCAATATTTGTAATCTGTCACAGTTTCAAGCCAACTCATTTCCTCTCCCGAGCTTCTGGCGGGAATGTATCACACCAGGCTTATGCTTCACCATACAGCCATTGATGTGTGTGAAATTCGTAAATTGATGTTGAGTTTAAAATTTAATAAAAAAAAAAGTGAAATGCGTAAAGAAGTTCATTTTACAGTGCTCTTCTCACTCGGCTGGATTTTCCCTGGAGAATTCTTTCCAGTAAAGTTCTTCGATCTACTAAAATACTTGCTTTATCTGTACGTTATGTATTATTTGTTGTTTTGGAGTTAGTCTGGTCAAGCTTCCTTATCTTTTTTTTTTTTTTTCACTAAAATAGTTTGTTTGAGTCTGCAATTTGGCTTCGTTCGTCAAGTTTCCTTGGATTAGTGTGGATGAATGGTAGTTGACGGGTTGCAATGTCTTATTGTCGTCTGATTTTAGTTATTTGAGTTTGATTATCAGTTCAAAAAATTTGACCTTCCCTTGAAATGGTAAAAATATCTGTTGGAAACGATTTTCAACCAAATTGTTCCTCAAAAAGTCTGTCCCTGAAAACGTAATTAGTCAGGGATGAAGTTAATCAAGTTTTATTAGAGAGTCGAAGGTGAAGAAGAGTAAACCTTATATCTTTTTTGATACAAAAAGTGTATTTCAATGATGAATTATGAAAAAAAAAAAGTATGGGAAAATTTAACAATGAGGGTAAAGTTAAGTAAGAGTTTTCACACACATCTAGCAGGTTTGGATTGATTGTCTACAAAATCACCACATTCCCCTAAATAAATAAACTAACAAATCAGCACATGGATAAGAGTTTTGATGAAAATTCTAATTTTTGTTATGATATATTTGTATAAATAGAATTTATAATCACAATTAAATAGTTTTCAACATGGATGAGTAACTATTATATGAAGTAGAATAAATAAAAAAGCTCTAAATAAATAAACTAACAAATCAACCTATAACTAAGAGATTAAAGATGAAAATTCTATTTTTTTATATACTTATCTAAATAGAAACTACCATTACAATTACATAATTTTTTAACATAAATGACGTAGCTAGCACATGGAATAAAATAAATCAAAAGATAAATCCAATAAATAAATTAATATATCAATGTATGGGTAAGGGTTTTGATTAAAATTCTAATTTTTATTTTTATGTACATTTATAAATATAAATTATAATTACAATGAAATAAGTTTTAACACGGAAAACGTAGCTATTATATGGAGATGAAATTATAGTTTAATATTGAAATATTTTCAGTTAATGTTCTTAACTAGATTAAAGTAATTAAATATAGTATTTAATATACAAAATTTATATTTTTTAATCTTAAAATAAATAACTGAAAATAAAAATAAAAAATACGAACACCTATAGTAATATGAGTGAAAATATATATTACTCACGTTGTTATGTTAATATATTTAATAAGTATTTTTATTTTTTTTAGTTTTATTATTTGACTTTAAAGTAAATCCATTTCTTGTTAAAGTAATCAAACGTTAAATAATAAAAAAAAAAACACTAATTTTTGTCTGTGTAGCAAAATTCATTCTACTTTTCTCTTCATTTTCAAATTCTTTCTTTCAAACCAAAAAAAAAAAAAAATCAATTAATAACTCAATTTTCAGCAACCAAACTGACGATTAATGATGATCAGAACCGGGATGCAGTCGTTGGATGATCAATGGGAAGCCAATGCGACGACAATGGTAAGTTGAAGATGAACCCAGAAGCCGTCGATGCACTTAAGCGTATCAATGGACCCATGAGCGTCGTCTCTGTTTATGGCCGTGCTCGAAAGGGTGAAAGCTTTATTCTGAACCAGGTACGATATTCAACTTTGTTTCCTTTCCTCTTATCCTCTCCCTTTGTTTCCGTTCTTCGAATCAAATGGTAAATGCGGGCTTTTCGGCATTAAAGGTTGCACATTTTGGTGGCTTTTATGTATTCTTAAATCTTTGTGGCTAGTTTATTAGCAATGGCAAAGTTAAAAGAAATGCTTGAAATTCACATAATATATGATAACAATTGAGATGATGCTATGTCAATAGCATTACACTAGTTTTGATACAGGTTTCACAATAATATACTAATAGAAAGATATTGGCTAACAAGGCTGCATCTAAATTTGAATGCATTGTAGCTTCTTGATAAGAGCAATGGATTCCAAGTTGCATCAACTCATCGCACGTGTACCAAAGGCTTTGGAATTGGAGTGCCCCACTGAAGAGAACAGCACTCGATGGATCTGAAACTGGTTTTCTGCTAATAGATACTGAATGGATTGATGCTTATGATCAAGCAGTTAGGCCTTCTTTCTTTCTTCCTTAATGAACTTAGTCCTGTCACAGTTGTGTCAATGATGACCTGCAACTTTCTCTTTTGTTCTTCTTTGGACAATATCATGCTTATTTTAGGGAAGAGCATGTAGTAAAGATATAAGAGTTTTGAAGACTCTTTCATGCTTCAATTGCCTGGGATTATTAAAAGATTTACCCAGATAGTTTACGCCGTCTGCTAAATATATAGTTCAAGTGAAGGTTTGATAGACTTCCAATACATGCTTTTGCATTAGATGTGCTTCTTGTAGTCCTGACCTCCAGGTCTCTTACTAAAGCAACAGGTTTATTCCTTGGATAACCAAGTTGTGAAGATACCACTACTGGTCATATTTAGTGTAGAGGTTTCATCAGCCTAAGTAAGTGGTGGCTGAAACTGTACTAAACTAGTTAAACAGCACTAAGTTTACCCAACTATGAATGTAAGACTCTACTAGTTTTACCTATTTTGCTCATTCTGAGTGTGTCCACATCAATGACAATGACCTCAAATGAACTTAGTATAGATTCAAAATGCAGGCCTGATGTTGCTTAATCTACTCTGGAAATGGTTGCAAAAGAGCTGATGAGATATCAGCAATGATATGAAACAACTCAAGTTTACATGTTACAACAAGTTTCTTCTCTATATTTTCTTCATTGACTCTGCACATTAAAACTTTTGTTATCTGTTTGTTTTTCTTCAAAATTTTCCTTTCTCTATCTCTGCTTCCAAAACTTTTCTGATTGTTTTTTTATGATAGGAAACATACAGCACGCAGATTTTCTCCTTAGCAGTCCTTATTGAGCATGTTTATGTACAATCAGGTGAGTACATGGGGTGTCATGCATGTGTTCAACCAAACTATTGCTAGCAGGGTGCTAATTTTATATATCTAATACATGGACCATAATGTACATAATACCATCTATGCCCAGTTCTATATTTTCTGTTTATTTTGGCCATCTTCATGTGCAAATGGGTGGTATTTATGAGCTTCACTTGATCACTTTTCTCTTGTCCCTGAAATGACCAAACAGCCGACAATGAATATATTATTGATGAAACTATACTAGACTAGTTAAGTTTACCCAACTATGAATGTAAGGCTCCATTTTGTAACCGGAAAATAACTTGCTGAACGGATGTCTTTTCTGTGTAAAACATTTTATTGGAAAATCTAATATTTTTTGTTATTTAGATTAAATGCCGAAAATAAAAATAGTTTCTATTGTTTGGATCATCGTGTAGAAAATATTTTCCACATGACCCATCTTCAATAATTTTCTACAATGACACCAGAAAAGTATCAACATTCGCAAGACATTCAAAACATTCCTTTCAACATTAAAAATATTATATATAAATAATATTTAACCCTTTTTATTTATTTATTTCTCATCATATTGTTATACTGGTTATTTTGTTAAGTGAATAAATCACAAATTGGAAATTAAAAAGAAAGAGAGATTTTCATGTGTGAAAATTTTATTTCCTATTTTATATAAATTTTTTCTTTAATTGACCTTAATTGTTTTATATTTATTAAAGATTGTAGTATCTTAGTACAAATAATTATAGGTGATATGATCCCTATGAAATAGTTGAATAAAAAATAGTTAGTGATGTTTACTTGGGCAAAAGTATAATGAATAAAGAGATGAAAAAAAGGAAAATAGTTGAATTGTTGAAAAATGCTTTGTTGAGAAATAGTTGAATAAAATGATGATGCTTTGTGGGGTTGATCCCATAAACCTTGGGATAGATCCCACAGGGAGGGGAGGGCAATGATGCTTTGTGAGATCAGTCCCAATGTTTATGGGATCGATCCTAGAGGGAGGGGAAGCAGCAGGGAAAGGAATCTAGGGTTAGTGGGGTTTTTTCCTTTGACTTGAAAATATTTTACCTCCTGTAAATATTTTCAGGTTACCAAACAAGGGAAAATGAAGAAAAAACTTTCTGAAAAATGTTTTCATCCTTGCCAAATGTAGCCTAAGACTCTAGCAGTTTTACCTATTTTGCTCACTCTGAGTATGTGTCACATCAATGACCTCAAATGAACTTAGTATATATTCAAAATGCAGGCCTGATGTTGCTATATCTACTCTGATAATGGTTGCAAAAGAATTGATAAGATATTAGCAATGATATGAAACAACTCAATTTTACATACTACAATAAGTTTCTTCAGTATATTTTCTTCATTAACTTTGCACATTATAACCTTTGTTATCTATTTTTTTTTCAAAACTTTCCTTGTTTATCTCTGCTTCCCAAACTTTTCTGATTGTTTTTTCCTGATAGTAAATATACAACACCCAGATTTTCTCCTTGGCAGTCCTTATTGAGCATGTTTATCTACAATCAGG